GAACACACTCCTGCGGGTGGAAGGCGGCCGTCTATCCCGCAAAATTAAAACCCGCGTAGGGCGAAGAGGGGTACACACTCCTGCGGGTGGAAGGCGGCCGTCTACCCTGCACAATTAAAGCCCGCGTAGGGCAAAGAGGGAACACACTCCTGCGGGTCCTTGTAGTCTTTTGCGTGCTGTTATCCCTTTTTGGATTAATTCATTCACTGCGGTGGCTAGATGCCTGTTAAGAATGAAATTGTTGAACTATTTACGAAAGATTTTACAAAGCAATATTGGATTTACAAATCTGTCATTTTGAGCATTTTCTGTGAATCATCGTGCAACAGAAGACAAGGAATTTCGTGGAGGTACCATGACCGGGATTAGGGTTTCGGTCCTACTTGGTCTGAAGAGACGCAATATTTTCATCCGGATGTACAGTACGTGCAATAAAGAATAAAATGAACCTATTGGCGTCCGATTGTTATAATTTTACTTTGTTGATTGTCGAGTGGAGCCTTCTTACTGTTGACCGATATAGGTGCGAAGGTCAACTTTTCCAAAACCGCTCTACCAATTTAAATCGTGTTTTGCATATAAATAGAATCCGTCTTGACCTAGGTCACGACAGAGACAGAATTTTTAAATTAGACTGATAAACGAAAATATACAAGGTCAAAGTTTACAATGTTAAGTTCAGGTGAAGTCGGCACCAAAGCGTGCCTAGTAAAACTTTGAAAAAACTATGAAAACATGAGAGAAATCAATGGATCAAAATATGTAACAAAAATATGAAACAATCATGTAACAAAACATGTAACAATCATGTAACAAAAATATGGGAGAAATCAATGGATTTCATTGAAATCCATTGATTTCTCCCATATTTTTTATATTCCTCCCATATTTTTGATATTTCTCCCATATTTTTGATATTTTTGAAATCCATATTTCTCCCATATATGGATTTCAATGAAATCCATTGATTTCTCTCATATTTTTGTTAATTTTATAATAAACAAATTACTAAAACTTTGCTGATTTATATTTTGTAATACTGGCCTATTTAAACATCCCTAGGAACTTTGTAAATTAAAATTTAAGCCAATTGTTTTGGAAAGTAAGCTTAGTTTGAATTTACAGTTTATTAAAGACTGTTTTAACAACTTCCAATTGTCAAGGTCCAAAAAAGATAACAAAACAATTCAGATTTGTATAAAGAATGAAGAGGAGCATGTGTATAACTTCTAATTAGCATATACTAGATACAGAGACTTTGCAACCATTATATTGATAAAATTAATGCTGTTATTGAAAAAAATTGTCATCTATTCTTAATAATTTGCTTGAAAATAACTTACTTTTATTCATTTGTCAGCACTTCTGTAAAATAACATTCTTCACTGTTTTGTGACATTACACAGAACTTAAATTCTTTACAGATTTCAGAGAGACAAAAGTCATTCACATAATAGAAACACTCCTTAGTTGTTCCAATATAATATTTCTTCTCATTACAAAAACAGAATACATCATAACTATTTTCTTGCATTTCCGATAATTTGGGTTTCCACGTTAGAAAACAGTCGACTCTGATGCAATTTTCTTCTAAACAAATATTTCTTTGTAGATTTAAGCACTGCATTTTGGTACTGTTTGAAACTGGAAGTATCTGTTTAAATATAAATTATGTTAAAGATATGGACCAACATCATAAATTTAATAAAACATTCTGCTTATAATGTCTATGTGATATTGTTACCATTGAAGGATTATTAAAAATTTGATAGAATATCAAATGTGTGACTGTACAGGATAAAATCTAGATAAAGATCTTAGAAAGCATCAAAAACTATGTATATTTCTTTTTTTATTTTTTGTTCTTTCCACCCTATGAGGCTTTTTAATTATACTCATCACAGTTGAAGTCTGAATCTTAGAAATTTCCACGAATTAAGCTAGTTACATTCTCCCATGATGAGCATGAATAAAAGTCTTCTTAATGTGCACTTTGTGCATTAAGAAGAGCACTTATAGAGTGAAAAAAGGGTTTAAAAAAAAGGAAAAAGTGATTTAAGTAATATGTAAAATGACAATATATTGAAATTAATTAAAAGCAGAATAAAACAGAATCTCACCTGAACTTGACCAATCAAAACAGAATAATTATCTGAGTTTCCGGAGTTATTTTTTGTCTCAGCAGCTATTTCGGTTATCGCACTGTTTTTAAACTCTTGGAAATCCATATAAAATACTCTAAGAATATAAATTATTATTGAAATTATGTTATTTAAATATTTTCAAATACTATCATTAAAATCATTATAATATCATTAAAATATGCTTAGATCTTAATTAGAATTACAAAATTAACAACACAGCCGTCCTCTTTGGGTAATATTATTGTTCACGGATAATAGAATGCTACTATTTAAAAAATGGATAGTTATATACTGTCAAAAGTATTTGTGTAAATAAAATTTTTTGTAACGATGATAGACAGTTGTGTTGCAATATTACTTGGCATCTAGTGTTTTTTCATTTTATAATTAAAATTCTTGAGAAGCTTGAAAAAATCTATAGTTGCCAAAATATTGACACGGGTTAACATATTAAAAGATGATGCAGTGTGATGCATTTATCCTTAATTTTAAATAAATTTCTACTTATCATCTATTTATTTTAGTTTCTTTAAATATAAATTTCAATGATGTTATTGACATCTTTAAAGACATAAAAAGCCAAAAATAATAATTTTGTAAATGATTTAATATTTCAATAAATCCAATTTAAACTGTTTTTCTAATGCTTTTGGCCCACATGGCATCATTAAAAGTCAACAAGAGGTAAAGACTAAGCTGCGATTCCTCTCAATCTTTATTGGGCTGCAATTTGAAAAAACTGTAGACCTATAAATTCCCAATGTCGTCCGTTTGTCTTTACTTAATTTTGAGAATGGAGTTATCTAGATGAAAACAAAGACTGGATATGGAAAACTTAGGGACAGGAGGTCCCAATTAACTACATACGAACTTCCAATGCAACCCAGAAGTCACGTTATTTCGACTCAAAAATTTCCTCCGAACGGAGTTAGTTAGAATAGATTCATGCCGGTCATCTAACAGGATGATGTATGGGGACAAGACACTACTAATTTGAAGTGGAGAGCATATATTTTAAACTAAATAAATTAAAAATTGCAGCCCAACATTGTGACAATGTCATAATAAATATTTACTCATTTCTTATGCTAACTCCTGATATTGGACATATGGTCTAAAAGCCTTTTCAAACTCAATCTTAGTCTTATAAAAAGTTTTTCAGTCTAAGAAAAGCAGTTTGAATTGAATTTGTTTGAAGAGCATTCTTAACAAGTACTGTACAGTACCTTTAATAAAATACAGGGTGCATAGTAAAGTGCTGTTAAATAGGTGCATAATAAAGTGTAAACACTGACATTTGTAAATGATGTACAACAAGATACACAGTAATGAATGCAACACAAAGACAAGGAGAATTGAGAAATACACATCTGATTGACTGTGCTAGACGTGCACATTAATATTTCACACTTCCTATTCATGCTATTCATTTATATAAGGTGTTCTTTCGTACTAAATCGGTCATGCTCTATGACTTTATAATTGACTTTTTTCTGTATCATGTATTGGTTTCCAGATTTTACCACTAGGGATGCTGCAAGCAGTAGTCTTAGGGTGCTGCATATACATTTGGAATCAAACTGATCCAAGATTACTCTGATCATTCAAATCCTGTATACAAACAAACAATAGCAATGTGATCGATCTCTATCCACGTATACAAACGCCATCTAGGATGGACCGGATCATGATCAAACTAATCCGAGCAAAGGATAGGATAGTTTGGATTGGATAAAAAAAATTAAAGATGGCAACCTCTGTGGTTAACGTCACGCTCATAGTTGACAGCAAAGAAATATGTTTAACTGTCGATAATGAAAGTATTTAAAACTTATAAATGGTAAGTAAAGTCACTATTAAAATACCTGATAAACTGAGATGAAAAAAATAATTAAGAGAGAGTTTTGCAAGAATGTACTGTAAGAATACATGGTGTGCACTCTCCTATTTTGCCATTACATGAGCAGTTTTATTCACAGAGTAAATATGATTTGATCCTACTTGTATACTTTTTGCCAACTAACACAGTGATCTGTATCACATAACAAAAACTGATCTGATCTTACAGATTGACCCATCTGAAACAAAAAGTATAAGCACCCTTATAGTGCATAGCCAATTTACTTTAATTATACATCACATTCATAACTGTAGCTATTTGTGTTCATTAGATACAGGAGTGTATAAGAACTTTTCTAGGCATCCTGTACATTGCAAAGTAAATATGTGTTCATATTATTTTAAGCAAACTATTGCTGTGTCTCCCAAGTATATAAAATCCTAATTACTTACAAAATGGAGTAACAAAAATTGAATGAAACTTTTCTTCCAGGTTATTTTGATGTACAGTATATAACAAATAAAATAAAGTAATGTTTAATATACTTGCCTTGTAATCCAATTATTTTCGGCCTCATTTCTGAAGTTAACATTTGAGCAATTTAATTTATTAATTTCATCTTCAGATAACGGAGACAACATTTTCGCATTTCCTTTTATGCGTTTTTTTGGCAGAATTTCCATACCGTCACTTGTCCAATCTCTTCCAGAACAACAGACTTCATAACAAACTTCACTATTCTTAATCTGGAGAACAATACTGATGTCGGTTGTTGGGATAATTAATTTATATGTATAAATGACTAATATAGAAGAACTGATTTCAAAATTAGTTAAAAATAATCTGAAATGAAAATAAGAGCCCATTACACAAATATTTATCAATTAAACCAAAAATGTTCTTAATACAGAGTCTTCCAAAAAAAGAATGCTATCATTTTAAATTACTCTAATTATATTAATTATTATCCAAGAATATTGTAATGTACATTAAAAATTTAGAAAACTGTCCAAGTTATGCATTTGATAATTAATTTTTCAATATGTGCACATTGCATTGCACGGCATACATCCAATTGATACTCAAATTCTTCTAATGCTCAATATGGCACATCCATTGTCACTCCTCTCACAGCAGCCGTAACTCAGCTGCAGAATATTTATGTTGCATGACAATGAGTCATTCCGACTTTGCAAACTGCGGGACACAAAACACTTTCTGTTGCCTCTTTTGTTTATAGTGCTTCCTAGAGATAGTAGGTGACAAGAGGTTTGAATGCCAATGGGAGATGAAACTTAGAAAGTTACTCTATCGATTGGTTTATGTCACATACTTCTTAGGTAATAATTAACATAATTACAGTCATTTAAGATGGCAGTATTTGAATTGGAAGACCCTGTATCTCGCCAAAAAACAAATCAGAAAGATTTGTTTTTTGCAGAGATAGAAGGTTACCTGAATCTTTGTGCAGAATTTTGACTTTTTAATTCCAGACACCCACCAGAATTATAAGCATCTTTGACGTGAATGCAACTACAATTATTCTTATCACAGCAACTCTGGGTCCAATGGAATGAAGGCTGAATTTGTTGGAGGCTTAGATTATACCATGGCTTTTCGCTAATTACCTAGTGTAAGAAGTTTTGTTAATAATGCAAAATCTAAATTTGGATAATTTATACATTTTGTATTTTTATATAATTTAATGAATGTTGAAGGTAATTAATCTTAAATTTTTTAATATTTATTTCTTTTTTCTTGCTCTTTCTGTCCTGTTGACATTGATGGAGTCTTTTTTTCATATCCATTGTGGGTTTAGCCAGGTCTACAATCGGGACAGCTGGATGGTGAAGGATAAGACATGACACAACCAAGTCACCCTACCATCTATTATTATTATTATGATTCATAAACAGAATGTTTTAAATCAATCTAATTTACATATATTAAGAAATCAGAAAATATATCCCAGCAATTTTTCGGAGAGTGATCTATTAAAATATATTGGGCTCCATCCTTTGCCACCCAGTCACTCCACTGCAGGCCTGGCCGAACCCTTGATGGGTTTACTAAAAAAAAGCTCTTAGTGACTGAGGGACAGAGAGTTAAAAATAATAGTAATAATATTCTATGTAAAACTTCATTCTTTTTTTATTTATATTAAAATTATACATTTCTGTTATTAAATTATTATTTTACCTTTCCTCTACGATAAAATTTATTTCCAAATCCTTGACAAAAAGAAGTAGAAAATGGCAGTTCTGCAATGGCGTAAATAGGGCAGTAATCATTTAATAATTCCCAAAACCTAAATTGTAAAAAAAAAATATTACAAAATTATTATTATTGTTATAAACTTATATTTATATTTTAACTTATTATAATTTTATTATAATCTGATATTTAAATTTAAATATTTTGTCAGGATTGGATTGAGTCAAGATTAACAAATAACCAAGTTAAACAGCAACTTAAAACATTTATTGTGGAATGCTCTATAAAACAAAAAAAAAAAGGAAAAACAAAAATTATAGCTGTTTCCCTCAAGTAGGAACAACAATTACACAAACTACATACATTTCTATACATATATAAGCATCTAAAAGCCCCAATATTTTTGTAATAAACCAAACAATTGCCGGATTTTCGGGCTACTTTACTGCTACTATTAATAATTAAATATTACTTGATTTGTTTTTTGAAACCGTGTCCTGTTTTATAATTGTGGCATAGTAAACACTAGTATTGTGTTTTATTCCAAAGACAAATGGCAAGTTTTCCATCAAATTCCTTTATTAGTTGAGTCGATACGATACATTGTTTTGTACTCGTTTCGGGCTTTGCCCCTCTTCAGTCAACTAAAATACAATATATATTTTTAACTTATTACAGTAGAGAATTTACATAAAACAATGAGTACATAAACAATATATAGACATACCTTTTGGTTACACTTTGTATAATTTAAAAACATGTAAAATCTGCTTTAATCTTTTGTAAATAAACTAGTATATATTACAAATTAAAAAGTTAAAATCTTCCAGAATCTTCCCTTTTAGATAAATTTTGATACAATACAACTGTAAAAATTTTTAGCTGTTTCCTCCCCCTTTTTCACCTTCCACCCCTTTTTGTCTTTTGCGCTGGTATCTCTAGTGTTGTCACATATGACATTCGCCACCTTGTGGTTTGATTTTTACTAAAATCTGTCTTGGAAGAATTATTTCCAGGAGAAATTGCTTTTCAGAAAAAAGAAAAAAAATTTATTTATAATGTATTAAGCCAGTTTTCGTTTATTTTAAGACTTAAGTTTTTATTTATACTGTCTTTACTTTTCATGATTTCTATGGCAAGAGCCCGAAACAAGTACAAAACAATGTACTGTATCGACTCAACTAATAAAGGAATTTGATGGAAAACTTGCCATGTGTCTTTGGAATAAAACACAATACTAGTGTTTACTACGCCACAAATAAATATTACTTAATTGATACTAGAGGTAGTCATTACATGCCATCTCTTATTAACTTTAATTTAATTATAATTAACATGATATTTATATAGTAGTAAAGTAGCCCGAAAATTCCTTGATCATTTGGATCATTACACGTATTTCAACATTTCTCATTTAAATATTTATCATTTGTCATATTGGCCAATCTAGATGCTACCTATTGACAAAATCTCTTGGCTTATCTTTTCTGCATTTTTGTTTGTTTGTTTCCAGAGATAACACTTTAGTTTCTTCAAATGTCCATTCTTCAGATCTTTCCTTGACCATTTCAATTGGTCATATACTATTGCAACAAAATGAGAGAAGATTTAAAATCACGACTCTTTATTGGTGCAAATTTTCATTTTAATAAGAACGAAAACTACTGAATGAAACAGGATACTATATTTGTATACTCTCAAATAGTTTTTGTTAAACACCTTTCTATTTGAAAGTCTTATTTTATAAAACTTTGTAATAGATTAAGTACATCTTCTTTGAGTTAAGTATAATTTATAGATAAAATCCTATTGTAAGAATACATCTTGAATCTTTTATTAATCAATCTTATGAATACATAAATAAAAGGAATTTAGTGGTGTTGGCAAAATTCAATGAAAGAAATGTTATGAAAATATAATGTAGGAAGAAAAAAAACACTTAATTAATTATGGTTTAAACTGTAAAAACTGCAATATATTGCATATTTTATCCATTTAAACATTATTATTGGGTTATTATTTTCAAATTGCAGACCTATACATTCCCCACTGTTGTCTGTCTGTCTTACCTTTGTTAAACTCAAGAATGGAATTAGATAGAAGAAAACTGAGACTGGATACAGAAAACTTAAGAGTCGAAGATCCGGATTAACTATGTATGAACTTCTGGTCTAGACCGAAAGTCTTGGAATTTTTTTTAATTAAAAGATAATTAAAAACTGCAGCCTGGCATTGTGACAACGTCACAGTAAATAAATGTTCATTATTATTGTGTTTAAATGAAAATTTATACTGAAAAATTTACAGAAATTAAAAATTAAATTTTTTTACTTACTTATATTGATTTTCTAAAAATTTCTCTTTATCTAATGTTTCGTAAACCCAACCGGGTGCAAAAATAGCAATAGACAAATCATAATTTTTCACTTCTTTCATTGCCTAATAAAATCAAAATCATCATTAACATAAAAATATTTTACTTTAATAAATACTTTAATTACTTATTAATCAGGTAATTATTTATAATTAACAGACATACAAGTTCGGTATTAAATCCTCCACCACCAAGGCATCCTCTCCCAAAAACATCAATTCCGACGTAGACATCGTCTTTCCTAGAATCTGCCGTAATTGCAGAATTTTTCAATGTTTCATCACTCCAGTTATAATTTAGAAAAATTCCATCGCAGGCATCAAAAAACGTTCTGAAATAAGGATTTTAAACTTAAATTAGAATAAAAATTGTGTATGTATAAAATTTTATTTGATATTTACTTATTAGATGCATTCAATTCATTCTGCCATTTTAATTCTCCAGTTGTTACGACACTGTCATACCATATTATGAGAGAATCTGGATTATTTGTATGACATATCTCAGTCAAAATGTTAACAAAATTTTCTAAATCTTTGGTATTCTGTAAAGGATGTTAGAAAATTTATTATAATACAATTGATTTAATTGTTTTTACAATCAACTAATTGAGAATTTCAGAGATTTAAGTAGTTCTAAATTGTACACACTATTTTTAGATACATAATTAAGAAAAGACTTTAAAAATTGATATAAAAAGTACATTATTCATAGTTTCTGAGACGGCCGAGTGATTAAGGTGGCAGCCTATTGCTCTGGGGAGCTTAGAATCTAATCCGGATTGGTCAAAAAACCACAGGAATTTTTCAGAGTGGGTAGACTGTCCAGTTTAAGTGGATTTAGGTTAGATTTAAAGTGAGATATTATAGACATTACCACAGACGGGGCCTCAGTTATGATTTAATTTAGTTCAGAAAATGAGTTCCTTCATCAGTTGTGTCTTTCACACGGGGTTCCTAAGCACACATGGTATTTTATATGATAAAAAGCAACTTCAAGAGAAGATAGAAGAAAAAGCTGTAAAGGAGGAAGAAGAAATGTTCAAGAAAGTATTGAAAATTGGGATAATTATATCTTTATATACAGCTTTTAACTGAAAGCTTGTACTGAAGCATTTTACCTACTTATCAGGGGAAGTTTGTAAGAGACAAAAATCAGTTGCTATGTTGGCTTACAGTAAATGTATGGATTACACCATCCTTTCAAATAATGTACAGTTGTGCTTTCTTATTTCAGTTGTAGTAGAAGGTCGCATGGATTGTTATTAACATGTTGAAGAAAAAGTTGCAGATTGGGTTTCTTGCACTTTAAGATAAAAATATTGTTGATATATCTGGTATAGACGAGATGTTGAAATTCTGGTAAAATAGCTTTTTCCAAGCAGCAAATGACAAAACTCTTCCTATAATTGTGTTGTAGGGAGATTTTGCTGATTTAATTTCAAATATTAAAAACAAATTCCAAGATATTTAAAAATTTACCACTAAAATATGATTATCTATAAGAAATTACAAAAGCAAATTTAAAGAAAGAGCTGAAGCTTATTAACTCGATATACTCACACAAGATGGAATGGCAATATCATTGCGATAGTGCTGTTTGATAGTTAATTATAGATTTGCAGAACTAAAAAAATTCCTAAACTTGAAAGTTTGTGAAATTGCTGAAGTGATTTCTGACAAATGAAGATCTTTAGAAGATTTCATACATATACTTTGATATTTTAAAATAGTTATCAATTGCCTTTCCTCACAGGATGCTTCAGTGTTGAAGGGAAAAAATTCCATGAAATTTATTTTAAAAGAATTAGACTGTGTTTATAAAAACTTTGATTGAATGCTGCTCTTCAAGAAGAATACAAAATGTCAGGTAAATAAACTATCTTAAGATCCAGATGCATTAAAAAGAAATGACCTACAAGAACCTTTCCTACTGCCAGATCATAAAACATTAATAAATTGGCAGAAGTAACATTCAAAACACTATTTTCATTGAAAGAAACACAAGAAACTACCGATGACAACATCATTACAGAAGATGCAGTTAGTGATCGAATGTTTCATAGTTATCTCTACAAAGTTTAAGACTGCCAGAAGTTTTCTCCCTCTCCCATAATGGATTTAACCAAATAAATGAAACTTTATGAAGCAACATCTGAGCATTTGAAACTTCTTTATCAGATTTTACTAACAATTAAAGCAAGGGTGTCCAACCCGCGGCCCAAGGCAAGTTCCAATGCAGCCCAATAAACGTGTAAACAAAACCAACAAAATGTTTTAATTTTTTTATTATTTATCTATTTCAGCTGCATAAACTCAAAAAAGAAGTTTCACAAAGCAAAATATGAATAAAGGTTTACACCTTTATTCATATTTTATTTTTGAATGGATAGGAAATATTTTCAAATACTTGGAAATGTGTGAATGAGGAAGGATTACTAAATAAAGCTGGAGTTGTGACTCAAAGGATTATAGACCCAAATTTGGGAAAAAGAGGGAAAGATGAGAAAAAACAAAAGATGTAGTAGTGAGAAAGGTTAAATAGATCTTCTGTTGACCCTTAATTTTCCAACCTTTCTCACTTTTTTATCTTTTGTCCTTTCTCTCCTTTCCCTGCATTTGGGTCTCTAATCCTTTGATTCACAACTACAGCTTTATTTAGTATTTTTTCCAATGTTGCAAGATTTGGCTACATTGCGCCAAATGTGGCTACATTTTTTTGTTTGACATAAAAAATATCATTTGGCGCTTTGGCTACTTTTTGGGCTACATATTATTTATAATTATATTAGTTGAATAAAAATGCACTTTAAAATGGTGTTTTGTCGCTTCTTATTAATTAGAGACCCACAACTATAACAAATATTTGTGTTTTTTCAAATAAATTTCAGTTGTCTCTTTTATAATAAATGAATTTATCTATTTCTAAGTAAAAATTGAAAGTGTATATAGATGTAATTTTTTAAAATATCCTTTTTCTTGATAAAGTTTTAATACTTATTATTATAATCTAGACATGTTAATCCTTAAATATACTTGTATATTGGGCCAAAAGTATATATGTGCAGTACTTGTGGCCCAAAACTCCTTGACTTCTTCCAATGCAGCCCAGAGAAACAAAAAGGTTGGACACCCCTGAATTAAAGCAACAAACTTGGAGCTAGAAAGAGCTTTATTCTTCTGCTGGCTACTTTCTTTCAAAACTCTGTGCTTACTCATTGCCAAAAACATTAGATGTTCTGTTTTATTTTTTTATGATCTTTTTTACATTTCCCCGTCCCTCACAGCCCAGCCACCCCAACTTGGGCCTGGCTAAAATAAGGCCATCTCAGTGCCCACAGAGCCAAAAGAGTTAAAAATTATAAATAAATAAATAGTTTCTGTATTAATTCTTTTAGAAATATTCAATAAGTTCATGACTTTTTTCAATTTATTAATAAATAACAAAATTATTCTGATATCACCACAATGCCAGGCTCCAATTCTTAATCATTATTTATTTTAAAATATATGCTTTCAATTTTGGTAGTGTCTTGCTCCTGTATATCGTACTTTTCCTCATAACAACAGTGTCATGCTGGTCATCAAACTCCATTCTCAAGATTAAGGAAGAACAGATGGACATCAGTGGGAATTTATAGGTCTGCAATTTGAAAACTGCAGCCCAAAAAAACAAAGACTTATATCATTTGAATATATTTTATAAAGAGCTTCGTAATTCAGGCTTGAAACCTTCTAAATTAAATAGATGTTATATAAATAGGCATACTGCTTGGTAAAGCAGCAGCTTTAATACGGTGATAAGCAAAGCCAATGACAGCCAATTTCGTTTGAAATAAACTATATGATTGGCTTGTTTGATAGCTGTATTAAAACCATTTTACTAGAAAATATGCCAAATGTTTTAATGCATAAACAAAGCTATTTGCAATGATAAATTGGTAAAAATTAATTAACTGATTTATAAAATCAATTATACTTCATCTTTTGTATGTAGATTTTACTGTAATAAGTCAATATAGATGGATGGAAAAATACAGGATGATATTCTGATCCATAATATCCATAAAAAATCAGAGGAGTCTAACTATAAAATGAAATGACAAATTCCTCATTAAAATATTATACAGTCGACCCCCTATAACACTTGTTGATTATTCCGTTTTATATGAATTTTATGTTGTACGAGTCACTTAGATTTTACAAATATGTGTACCGGGCTATGAACGGCTCACATATTTGTAAAATCTAAGTGACTCGTACAACATGGAATTCATATAAAATGGAATTATCAACAGTGTTATGGGGTGTTGACTGTACTTTATTGTTTCTATACACATATTGAAACCCAATGGATATTTGAGAAAACACTAATATAAATATGAACATCAATGCCATAACTAGATTAAGGTTTAGCATTTGATTCTTAAATGAGTAATGTTTTTGAAGCATGTCCATCAATCAAAAACTATTCATTAAATTATGTGCATTGTCCTATACATTAATATATAGAGTACATTGTAAAGTCCTTATACATCCACACTAGTGACGAACACAGATATGTGAAATTATGAAAACAATGTACAGTTATAGCAAAGTGATTACATGCTACAAGATGAGCCCACTCACATTCCTAGCAGTAAAATTCAAAAGTTATCACATCTCAAAAATGACGCACAGTATGAAATAAAGTCAATTACAAAGTCAAAGAGCATGACTGATTTAGTAGTACATAAACAAATAGAAAGCATGAAATGCTAATTTGTACATCAATAAAGTGTGTATTTCTCATATGTTCTCATGTGTTTATTTATAACACATATTTCTTATTTTCCTGTATGTTTGTGCTGAATTTGTTACTGTGTGTTGTACATAACTCCAATGTCAGTGTTTAAAGACTTTACTATGAACCTTATATTTATTAAATTTAACAATATTTACTTTCACTTGTAATATTTATCTAACATAGAAATGTTAAATACATATATACAAATATTATAACTGGTACAATAATAAAATTCAATTATTTCCAAATGCAAAAGCTTTTTAAATTTATGATTGATTCACTTGCTATTTTTTTTTCTTAAAATTTTAAGACACAAAATTAAAATTTTCAATTTTATTAAGTTTACCTGACATTTATTTTCAATGTTAAGAAGCCATCCGTCAAACCCATAAAACCTTGCTATGGCATCTAATTTACAAGCGGCTAATGTTTGAGTTTTCGCCGATTTAAACAATTCGTTGCATAATTTTTCTCCTTCATCCCATTCTGTAATTACAGTACCTGAAAATATTTTTATTCTTTATAGAGAAAAATATCAAATATAATTTAGTAATATTTATAATTTTCTTATATAATTTAAATCTCCACTAGTTACACACATTATTCATATTTGTAACTAAATTATTTATGAAAATTACTCACACTTCTAGAATAAACATTAGAACTTTCATTCATATAGAAAAAATGTTTCCAAATTAAATATTTTAAGCTTATAACGGATGATCAATATAAGGCCATATAAGGCCCATGACCAAGGGAATAAATCAAATCGTCAACAATGCTCACAAATCATTTGACTGAATGTTGAATCCTTCCCTTACTATCCACTTATCTCATTATGGCTATGGAAAGACATAAATTGAATAATGCAAATGATTTCTCATTTCAGTAATTAATGATTTGCAAATTCTCTATCAATTATTAATGTACAAATATTTCATTAATCAAATGTCACTGATTTTTCTGACTATTTCAAGACTACGAATGCATTTATTATACAATTTTGGATAATTAAGTCAAATATTTATTACAAAAACTTTTAACATATAAGCGTTAAATTAGACACCTATGTCACTAAATTGACGAGCGCTTTCGACGATATACACTTTCGTCTTCTTCAGGTCATTAGAACATAAACGCGCATGTTTTTTATTTAAATATCTGTTTATATTCTACCGCGCATATTTTTATTTAAATATCTGTTTATATTCTACCGCGCATATTTTTATTTAAATATCTGTTTATATTCTACCGCGCATATTTTTATTTAAATATCTGTTTATATTCTACCGCGCATATTTTTATTTAAATATCTGTTTATATTCTACCGCGCATATTTTTATTTAAATATCTGTTTATATTCTACCGCGCATATTTTTATTTAAATATCTGTTTATATTCTACCGCGCATATTTTTATTTAAATATCTGTTTATATTCTACCGCGCATATTTTTATTTAAATATCTGTTTATATTCTACCGCGCATATTTTTATTTAAATATCTGTTTATATTCTACCGCGCATATTTTTATTTAAATATCTGTTTATATTCTACCGCGCATATTTTTATTTAAATATCTGTTTATATTCTACCGCGCATATTTTTATTTAAATATCTGTTTATATTCTACCGCGCATATTTTTATTTAAATATCTGTTTATATTCTACCGCGCATATTTTTATTTAAATATCTGTTTATATTCTACCGCGCATATTTTTATTTAAATATCTGTTTATATTCTACCGCGCATATTTTTATTTAAATATCTGTTTATATTCTACCGCGCATATTTTTATTTAAATATCTGTTTATATTCTACCGCGCATATTTTTATTTAAATATCTGTTTATATTCTACCGCGCATATTTTTATTTAAATATCTGTTTATATTCTACCGCGCATATTTTTATTTAAATATCTGTTTATATTCTACCGCGCATATTTTTATTTAAATATCTGTTTATATTCTACCGCGCATATTTTTATTTAAATATCTGTTTATATTCTACCGCGCATATTTTTATTTAAATATCTGTTTATATTCTACCGCGCATATTTTTATTTAAATATCTGTTTATATTCTACCGCGCATATTTTTATTTAAATATCTGTTTATATTCTACCGCGCATATTTTTATTTAAATATCTGTTTATATTCTACCGCGCATATTTTTATTTAAATATCTGTTTATATTCTACCGCGCATATTTTTATTTAAATATCTGTTTATATTCTACCGCGCATATTTTTATTTAAATATCTGTTTATATTCTACCGCGCATATTTTTATTTAAATATCTGTTTATATTCTACCGCGCATATTTTTATTTAAATATCTGTTTATATTCTACCGCGCATATTTTTATTTAAATATCTGTTTATATTCTACCGCGCATATTTTTATTTAAATATCTGTTTATATTCTACCGCGCATATTTTTATTTAAATATCTGTTTATATTCTACCGCGCATATTTTTATTTAAATATCTGTTTATATTCTACCGCGCATATTTTTATTTAAATATCTGTTTATATTCTACCGCGCATATTTTTATTTAAATATCTGTTTATATTCTACCGCGCATATTTTTATTTAAATATCTGTTTATATTCTACCGCGCATATTTTTATTTAAATATCTGTTTATATTCTACCGCGCATATTTTTATTTAAATATCTGTTTATATTCTACCGTTGCTATCATTCCAAATTTGCTATTTAAGATTGGAATGTTTTTAAAAATTTTGTATTCAAAAAAGGTTCTAATGACCTGAAGAAGACGAAAGTGTATATCGTCGAAAGCGCTCGTCAATTTAGTGACATAGGTGTCTAATTTAACGCTTATATGTTAAAAGTTTTTGTAATAAACGATTAGCGTGCTGTCCATTATCAAATTATAGACAAATATTTATAAGATGGTAACATCTTCAGAACAGTTTAAAATATCTAGAAATATCTGTCTGTGTTTAGAGTATATTCATTAACAATGACATTATTTTATCAATTTTTCCCTATTCAAATAGCTGAATTCCAAGGCAGTTAAGATATTATCTACCACTAAGATAGGATCCGTAAGCTGTTGAGCAATGAAACCATCAAACATTGGTAGTTAGTTTATTTAGTTCCAGGTTGGACTTGATCAATGGATTGGCAATGTGGAGTTTGGGCATTTTTTCACGTCTGATACTTATCTAGAGGCCAGTGTCCCGTAAAATGTCCTCCTGGCATCCCTGTTGGCAGATTGCATGTGTTGCATTGTTATATCCCACCAAACCACCGACAAGGAGAGAGTTGGATGTTCGGGTCTCCAATTTGAACAAAACTTGGTATGCATGTAGCCCCAAACACAGTTTCTTATCCAAACAATAGGACCCACTTCTCAAGTGTTTCTGAAAAACAGGCCTCTGAAAATTGAGTGTTTAGTTTTTAAGTCTTTGAAAGTTTTGCATCTTCTTGGAACAGTAATAGCTAAGTGGATAAGATGCTAGGCACTGGAGCTCCACAATATAGGTTTGGAACTTTGCAATTTTAGTTATTTTTTTTGTATAATATAATTATTTTATTATTTCACCATATCATTAGCATTATTATTCCTCACATTTAAAGCTTATAAAATAAGAGATTAAAAAGATTGTGATGTCATTTCCTGTTTAGTTAAAACAAAGTCTCTATAGATTTATCGCTTTTATGTCATTAAATTAAATTTTTATTTCTTCATATTTACTTTCAGATATGGTGCTATTGTTACATTTGAAGTGTAAGAAACATAAATGCTTGAGAAAATTGCCTGTAACATTAACAATTAAAACAAGAACACTGTGACTATGCTACTCTATTTTCATATCAGACTTGTCTTTTTTGTCCATGCAAGGTAATGTCTGAAACAGAAACCAGTGTAAATTTCCACTGGTTTCCGTAAGGCTGCATATGACACATATGGTGCTACCTTACCAATACAGTAGTTTCCTGCATAATAACGTTTTGCTAGTGATTGGGAGCTATTGTGTTTTTGTGGTAGCTATCTATGTTAAGTCTACTTAAGCAATCAATCTTGTGTATGACCCACACTGAGAAATTTCTACTACTTTTCTGTATATACAACCAAAAATTTGATTTATTTAAATATGTCCACAAGTATTCAGAATGTCATTATACACTATATATTACTATATTAATTTTTAAATAGTTCAGAAATTTACCTAATGATAGAACACCATTCTTATGTGCAGCAGAAATCCATCCTTGAGGAGGAATTGTAACAAAATAATGGCTGAAGTAAATGAAAGCATGTATGTTTGTCCAATGAAAGAATCTATAATTACTTTCTTTTTCAGTTCCTTGAAGAAATCTAAAATTAGAAAATTAATTTTTAAAATATACAAGATTTTATGAAGTATCTTCCCTGCTGTAAGAATGTACTACATTAATAAAATATTTGTTTATTTATACATCATTTAATAGAGAAACCTGATAAGATTTAAAATATAATAATGCTAATAAATTTAAATAAGAATTTAATTAAAACATCATTCAGAACAAAAATTATTTAATATGAATAAAATTTTATTAAAATTAGAAAATTATAAGTTATTAAACATATATATAATGATTAGTTTTTCCCTCCATTAAATTAAAATAAACTAATCTATAAATATGTCTACAAAATCCTTATTTATGAGATTGTATCCTTGGTTTCCAGTTAGAGAATGTTTCAACAAAAAATTCAACAAACTGAACAGAATCTAATTTAACATAATAACAGCCTACCAGTAGCCGAGTGGATAAAACCCTGAACACTGGTAATCGTGGGTTTGTGCCTCACTGAGCCAGACACATGGAATTTTCCGAATTTCCCTTAGAAAGTCCTCCTTGGAAGCAATCCCCCCTTGGCAGATCACCCACAAGTTGCATTGCTGCATACAGATGACAAACAAACATGCATGACCAGTGCCGGCCCGAGGCAAGTTTCAAGATGGAGCGAGATCCTATTATGGCGCCTCCTTGGTTGCACCTTTTCTTTACCACTGAGGCGTCCCCCAAGACTTGGCGCCTGGAGCGGCTGCTCCGTTCGCCCTATGGTAGGGCCGGCTCTGTGCATGACAATTCATTTTAGGACATTATGAAAATTTAATAATTTCATCTTAAAACAATTTAAAACCTAAAACAGTTATTGAATACTGCTTTAATAACTTCCAGCTGTCAATATAGATGACAAAGCTCAGATAAACATGGGGAAAAATTAAATCCATGCAGAGAACGAAGGGAAGTATATAGATAATTTCAAGAAGAGGAATTTTGTAACTGCTATGTGCATTCAATTTTTAAGACATTATTCATTTACCTATCATCTAAATATCCTCCTTGCATGTCATGGCAAACTAATATCTTTGGTCCTTCTTTCACTTTTATTCTCTTTCTCAACTTTTCTAGACGAAAATCACATTCCGGTCTCTTCCATTCCAGCAATTCTTTTAAACTTTTTATTGGTTGTCTTTCCACCTTAAAAAAAAAATTATTGAAGTTATTGTCAGTTTAATATTGATATAATTTATTGAAAAAAACAGTCAAACATGTATATAAATTGCATATTAACAATTAAATTACTAGTTAATGAATTTAGAATAAATACAAAAAGAATTTTATCTCATCATAAGACTTTTTAACATGACTGTATGATTTATAAATAGTTTTAAGAACAGTGGTTCCAAATTTCTTCATTGCATCATATTTAATTTTAAATAATATTTTTCTAGCACATCATTTTAAACTATATAATATTTATCAATATAAATTTGTAAATTAAATCTTGCCCTACATAACAATAAAATTAGCCAATACTGTATATACTAATATAAAAGCAGCCTCAACCTTCATATTGGTCTAGTTATTGTAAGGCTACTTTTATAACAGCATAGATAACTTAAAGTAAAAGTTACTTTTGAGATTTACAGTATATTATTTAATCACAAGGACCAAACTGCAACTCTTCTAGACCCTTAATGCAGTTCTGTATGCAATTTCTGTATGCAAAAGAATATCATATTACTTACATGTAAGTAATATTTTTGTAAGTTTGCTGACTATTAATGTAGTATGATATACATATGAATTGTAAGTGTAAAGCTAGGCTCACATTGCATTACAAACTATAGGAATAATCAAGGCAAAATGTCATTTGCTTTGTACTAAGTATCACAAATTGAGTTAGAACATGATAGGTTGAAAGATTTCAAATACTAGTTGTGAAAAGTTGATTGGTCAAACAAACAGAAGTTCAGCAAAAGTGGAGATATTTTCAACTCCCAAAAACATGATTGAACAGTCACCAAAAAGGAATGAACCAGTACTTTGAATTTACTTCGTAGCAGCTCGCATGCCAAAGCAAAGCTAACTTTACTCACAAGTCAAATGGGTAACCGAAAGCCGAGATAATTTTAGTCTCCCAACAACAAATCCATAAATCATCTACCGCTAAATAATTTAGGTGAAACACATATATATTTATATAAAAAGAAAAAATAATAAGTTTTAATAAAGCTATTTTCTGAGTACTAGCTTTTTTTTTTGCATACCCCGCATTTCTTTATGCAACGCTCGAGAAGTGCTTTACATCAAACACACTGAAACTGGTTTCTAATTATCCAACACAACAATTATCCTGCTCATGACGTCATTTTGCTACACTCTCGCTGCATAAAGAAATGCAGGTATATCTAACCAAACATATGCATTCTTAACTACTATAACAGAGTACAACTACAGATGTGAGTGACACTGTTAGGACATTAAGAGCCGTCCGTAGACATGTCCACAGGAGCAAAAAAGTCAAAGGAACCACACCTCTAAATGTAACTCTTAGTGGGATATAGCACCAAAATCAATCTACTTCTAGGGCACGATCAGGAGTAACTCAGTCATGTTCCTTTGACTTTTTTTGCTGCTATGGGCATGCTCTACAGCTATGTTAAGATCCCAACAGTGTCGTTCACATCAACAATCTTACCATATAACAGTAATAACCACAGTATTTTAACTATAATTCCAACAGAAAATTTGGTTCTCGCCTATTTCTGATACGCCAATGTATGGCTCCTGGCCTAACAAGTTGGTCAACTGTTAACTGAGTTTACTATAAGAAATTATTTTCTCATATTAAATTCAAACAGCAATTTTGGGTTAAAGTACACCTAGGTAACCCCAATGGCGGCGTTTCAGTTAGGTTAGGTTAGATCAACTACATTTTTTGTAGACGTTTCTTTTTTTTTCATTCATTTTGTTCAAGAACTACTGTGAATCAATAACTAGTGACGTTAGGCACTCGGCGGCTCCCCTCCAGGAGGAATCCGTCGGAAGCACAAACAGTCGGAAGTACCGCCATTGGGGTTACCTAGGTATACTTTGACCCAATTTTGTTTATAAAATTTCTTCAAATACTTAACTTATTTAATTAATATCTTGCAAACAGTATTAGCTTTATAAAATATAATAAAATATATCTTTTTCTTAAAAAACGAAAAATTAATTCGTACTATTGTATCCATGAGTTCTTTGGTCGTATAACAGAGTTAAACTTCAATTAAATACCATTATTTTAATTCGACTACCACACACACAATTGTAAACGTCATTAGCACGTGTTTCCCGATATATAAACAGATAACGTAAGTGTTGCCAACTCAACAAAAATTAATTAATAATTTACGCGAACGGCTTTATTTAGTTTCGTACATTTGTGGTTTAAAAAAAAATTATACATCCGAAATCTTTTTATATTCGAAATAATTTATAGAAATAAAAAACAATTAAAATTAAATTTTTGCAAAATTTTATTTAGTTAAAAAGAGCCGTCGAGCATTATTGCTATACGAATTAGTTTATTCCGCGCTGTGGGATCTGTCCATCGTGGGTTCGGCAGGTCCACAATGGGACGACCAAGTGGAGAAAGTAAAAAAAAAAAAAAAAAAAAAACCCTTTTAGTCCCGCAGGGTGGAAAGAATTTGTAAAAACTATAAGTTTAGTTTGGCTGATGGGATGCGGAAACGAAACACTTGGACGATCTGCCAAGGAGGATTCCTCTCAGAAAGACTCTATGGAAACTTGCCTTTATTTACGTGTTGCACTCTATTATATTATATTACTTTCTGAGCCGACTTAGAACACCCAAGAGAATTCGAATGAATCCATTGGTGGAAATTTCTGATCCGACTTAGAACTCATCCGAATGTATGAGCTCTGTCCCTCGAGGGATCAGCATCTTCAAAAATCATTGGAAGGATACATTCTTAACGTAATTTTATGCGAAGTTTATTGGCCTGGTGTTACGAAAACGAAATTAATGGCACGTTAAAATTCTCGAAAGATGAATTCTAAATACGGGCTATCAACACAATGACGTCGACATCTGTCTATTAGTGTATAGAAGCAGGTGGTAAGAGATTAACAGATGGTGGTGAATCATTAGACTTGACTTAACCGACGGGGTGTGCTGTTCTGAGAGGAATTGGTATGAGAAAACAATATTTAATATGTATAAATATGGAAAAATATCGTCTATAATATCATTAAAGTCGCTTGGAAGAGAATGCGACGAAAGTTGCGCTTCGTTGGATCATACTTGTAAGATTTCCTCTTATTATACTAAAATTAAACATTCCATTTAATTTTAAACTGTAAATTTGTTTATAAAATGTAAGGGAAAATGTATAATTTATATATAAGGAATTACAATTAAGTTGCACTACATTGTGTTAGATAAACAATTATAAATAACTAATTACGTGCATAAAATATAAGTAAAACTTTAAAATAATATAAAAAGATATAATAATTTATATATTATATAAGGCCTATAAGTTAGTTATATTATTTGACTCCCTGTATATAGTTTTAATGACCCAACATCTGCCTGCATATAATTATTTTTATTAAGGTATAGTTTAATATTTTATGTAGTGTATATGACTCTCTACAGGTTTTTTATAGCAATTTATTATATTAAACAATTTTTTAATATTAATTTTAAGAAATTAAACGAGATCCTATTTAAGATTCCCTCTTACAATATGAATCACGAATTTATTGATGAATCATTTCGTTAGAGCAGCTTTCAAATTTATTATATTCTAGAAAAAAATAATAACAAATTTCTAAAATTAATCAAATTTTATTTCAATTTATAGATCTATAATTGCTGTTTTAATTAAATTTAATTATTAACAAATATAAATATTTGGCATAAAAATGGTTATATCCATTGCATATAACCATCGAATAGTAGTAGTTGGTCGCGGGTTCGTACATCACCAATAGGCTAGCCACGTAGAGTTTTCTTCACGTGTCTAATACCTAAATAGACACCATTTTTTTCCATAAAAGTCACTCCTTGGAAAACCCTCAAATCCTCCACTTCGCGTCATCCTTGAAGTGTCGTTGTAGGCACTCCGGTTCGAAACCACTGGTATAATATGGCATCCCCACGAGGATCTGCCCCAGACTCCGACTGTTTCCACTGTGGGCTCATCTGAATCCATAATGGGTATGTGGTCACCAAGAGAGCCTAAAAATAAACTCTTTTTGGTGCCCACATAGGAAGACTCAAAAAGATCATAAAAATGAATGTTTTAAATCATTAAAATAAGTGATAAATATAAATTATCATGCTCGTAAATGAGTGGTCAAGATGGAACTTTTTAAAAGATTTTATACGATTAATATAATTGTGAGCATTTAAAATCTTTCAAATATATCTTTTGCAGGTGACGATGAGAGCGACGTCAATCATCTTTATATAAACAGAATAGAAGATATGAAAAGGATTCTTTTTCCTGCAACTGACGACATTTTGAAAATGTCACCCAGAGCCAGACTATGTATTGCTCACGTGGAAAGGGAACTTTTTGAATTAAAAATGAAGAGAAATGAAATTTTAAGAAAGGAAAGTGAACTTATATATACGTAAGTAAAAAGTAGGGTTATTACTTTTTTTTACATTTTCTAAATGTCTTTTTTTTTAATTACTTTTTTTAACTTTTAGTCTCCAAGATACACTTTTGGATGAGGAATGTGAAAAATTAAGAAGAGAATTTTCATATCTATCTCAAATATCAGGTAATAAGTTTTAAAATTAAAAATAAACTGAACTTTTTTCATTTAAGATTACATATTTACCTTTTTCGCATTTCCAAAAATATTATTGCCCGCCAGTGGCCGAGTGGATAAAGTCACAGAACCCTGGTAGTTAGTTGCCAATTTGTGCCCTACTGTGGCCACGTAGTGTCTTGCAATTTTATTAAGAAGTGCTCTGGAGAAGAAGAAAATTTGTCACTAGGAGCATCCATAGAAAACAAAGTCTCAAGCGCCATACATATAGTAGATGAATCTGCCACGTAATAGATCAGACATATTACAGATAAGACAGATTAAATCAGTGATGTTCAACGGCACTTCAGAAGTGCCGAGTAGCGCCATGGAAAAAGTTGGAAGAACCGGACCAGATGCAAATTTTGCCACGTTTGCTGTGGTTTCCTCAATCACAGATTATTTTGTCTTCTTAAATTTGTTTTAGTCATTATAAAGCCCAGATTTTATGATCATTTCTCGAAAACATTCAGTTCAACGATCCAAAAACTTTGAAAAGAGCGAAGAAAGGATATTCCAGACACAGTTCTTGCATTAGTTGATTCGTAATTCAATTAAATTATTAGTTACAGATGTACTAATCAGAAAAAACAAATCTATTTTCTTGTAAGGAATAACTGTAATGAATTTTAAATCATCAATGTAAATATTAAAAACAGAATTTTATAATGCAATTTTAATTTCAGATGAGGAAAAAACAGCAGAACAACAATGTGAAGAATATGAAATTCTGCAGAAAATTGTAAATATAGTGGATGAAAGAAATAATTTGCTATTCGATTTAGATATTGAGAGATTAAGGTACGAGAATTTGCTTTATTTTGTACAAAAAATTTTGAAGATGAATATAACTTTCCCCTTTTTTTTCTCCAGAGAAATGGAAGAAGATAAAGAAATACAAAATAAATATATGTCTTATAAGCTAGGTAAATATATTTTTAGTAATGTAACATTAATTTATTAAAATATTTTTAAAAATTAAAATTTTAAAAACGATTATATGATTTTCAACTGGGGTGCTACAACGGCACTTCTGTTTGACAAACAGTTTTTCTGTAGTTGAACATCTTGAGTAAGTGTGGACATGTGTATGCATGTGCTTGTACAAATGATATTTCCGTAGATAATATCAATGGCAACAAAGATAATTGAAATATCACTATTAACCTGTCAATGAGTTGTAGTGTATCTTTGTTTAAAACCATCACCTCATACTTTATAAATGGTGCTTTTTTAATAATTTTTGAATTATATAATCATTGGTTCTTGTTAGAATTGTGTTTTGTCAGTAATATATTTCATGAAAGTTTTTTACTCAATCACACTGTTCAGGTTTTTTTTTTTTTCAAATTTTCTGCACCATGAGTACTAAGAGGGCCTCTTCTTAGCAAGCCCATTATGGGTTTGGCCGGGCCCACAATGGACCAGCCAAATGGTAGGGAACGGGCTAGATGTATCTGAATGAACCACCCTCGAGAAATTACCGGGGCTTTGATTCGTCCGATTCAATTCTGCGTTCCCGGAGTGTTAGGTTGCCACCTTACCTGTTCACCTTACCATCTGACCACCCATCGTACAGGGTATTCATTTTAACATATATCCAGGTGTAAAAGAGATCTTTCTAACATTGCACAAGTATATTCAAATGGTGCACTAGTTTTATCGTAAAGTTTATTAAAAAAATAATAATTTAATTCATTTGAGAGACGTAAATTGTGCGGCAGCTCATAAATTTTCCAATCACAATAACAAGATGCAAATTAAGAATGCAGTTTTGACAAATCGTGAAAACACACGATACCAATAGCTTTATAAAAAAAAACCCATCACGTAATCTGCTAATTGATAAAGCACTATTAAAGTGTGTTATACTCAAAATCACTACTGCGAAAAGATCATACTTTTACAATTGCGCAAGAATATACTGTACATACTTGAGTAGTACTGGAAAGATCTCTCTATCATGAGGATGAATATTAAAGTGAACTGACTGTATACTGCCCCAATCCTTGCTGCCCATGATAAATAATAGGGTCCGGATTGGGTTTAAACCTAGATTTTCCATAGAAGTGATCTAAACTTAATCATGATTGCATCCAAATTTTGCAAATCATTTAAAGTTTTCAGTGTGCCACTGCAATTAATAGTGTTACAAAAACAATTTCAAGTATTTTACGTTAAAATTAAAAATTAATAAATTATGTTTACGTTTAAACAGAATGGATGAAATTAATCGGTTCCTTGGAAGATATTAGGAGTAAAGGAAATATCAGACAAGCGATTACAAGATGGCTGGAACAGATGGGCACAAAATTTCATTTAACAAATAAAAATTTTGTAAATTAAAAATTTAATTGTAATTTTGTTAAAATTATAAGCAACTTGATATATTTGTAAAGTACTTATATTGAAAATTTTTATATTTAATATAAAACTGGATCTTCTAGTCCAGAATATTATGTAGAAAATGAAGTATCGATTATCCTAATTGGATGAATTGGGATGTTGAAAATTAATGTCATTCAAAGACAATATATAATTATTTAGAAACAATTGCTGAAATACAATACAAAAATGGGTTTCGGGCAGAAGTTTTGTACCCGGATCACGCTTTTGCGTATACCAGTGATTCCTGAAATAGGTGGTATGGCCCTCGAGGGCGGTAGAAGACTCGAGGAGCACCAGAAAGCTAGGGGAGAAAACTCATTTTGAAACAAATATATAAGAAATATATGCACTAAATGGGAGCAATGGTCAAAAAAGTTTGGGAAGTACTGGTGTAGACTCATAAGCCCATGATTTTCATGTTCTCTGCAAAGACCACTTTGTTTATCTATTCGCGGATGTTATCGTCTACAACTTTAGTTTCTTTGATAAAGAAATTAAATTTGGCAAATTATTTTTAAGATAACAAACCGGAGATTGAAGAGAGACAAAAATGCTGTATTAGAAATCTCCGGGTAAAAGTAAACCGTCAAAGACACGAAAATATTTCTTATATTTTCTTAATATTTGAAGTTTTTATATGCTGTAAGTAGGATTTAATTATTCGAATATTTTTAAAATCTATTTATTTTGCATTTTCTCGACTACCGTAATGAAATATTAATTAATTGTAAATCATCGTTGTATGAGGGGTGTTGAAAAAGTTCCCGGAAAGCGGTTATTTTTAATTTTCTGGGATTCTGATGGGTTAGCTCGTGGATTTTCTTGAAGACCAAAGAATAATAATTGCAAGCCATTACGAAACTGTTAAGAAAACTGCATGCAGCTCTAAGACCTGAAAAATTCATCAGTGTGTCTTGTTCTATTATAATAATGCACCGTCTAATTCTACAAGATCTAACAGGATAGTATTGTAGTCCAGATGTAGCACCGTCAGGTTTGGTTTTATTCCATTAAGGCAATGCAACACGTGGACAATCTGCCAAGAGAGGAAATGGGACTTATGGGAAACTTGCCCCTATTTAGGCATTAAAACTAGTGCATTTTGTACTGGAATGGCTAGAATCAAAAAGAACCAATCAGTACCAGAAGAGCTTAGAAAGGGGCAAAATCATACGGAAGAATGTTTTAATAGTCTTCGTATTTACATTTTCCGGGAACTTTTCGAATGCTCCTAGTATTTTATAAAAGTGTATATTTACTGAAAATAAAACAATTCACTCTTATAACAAGCTTTTAATTTACTCTTTTTCTTTTATAATGTTACATTTTTTCATTAAAAATATGTAGCATTTTTTCAGAGGTAAGTACAAGATCAGTCACTCATACAACTCTATCATTGCACCAAGGGGGAAAAAATGTAAATTTAACAACTGTCTCGAATTTGGCATATAAAATTTTTTGTAACAAACATGCACGTGCATTCATACAAATGATTTTTTCTTCTTCTTCTTCTTTAGCCGAGTTACTAATCAATTAACCGTGCAACGACACAGTAAATAATATATACACAAAGAAGCATGATACGTCTGCGTAACTCCGACAAATTTATAATACAAAATCGGACAAAAATTCGAGGCAAAAAAGCTACCTTACTATTACAAACGGTGCAAGTGCGACTACCAGAAACAATTCAATTTGTGACCTATAAAGGCTTAAACACAACATTTTTACCGGTCTCCGATCACAAAGGTATCACTAAAACACACGAAAAATAAAATCAAACGAAAGATATAGTTAAAAATTTTACCATTCGGGCCGTAAATTAAAGGTGAGTCCATTCTACTCAAAGGATTTTCATTCATTTATAAATAATAAAGACTGTTTTCAACTTAGANCCAGTACTTTGAATTTACTTCGTAGCAGCTCGCATGCCAAAGCAAAGCTAACTTTACTCACAAGTCAAATGGGTAACCGAAAGCCGAGATAATTTTAGTCTCCCAACAACAAATCCATAAATCATCTACCGCTAAATAATTTAGGTGAAACACATATATATTTATATATACAATAAATCCAGGTTATATGTAATAAATTCCCTTAATATAATCTTATTAAAAATAAAGGGAATGTGTTAATAAAATCTACTAACAAACGTAACAAGAATGGAAATGCTTAAAATAATTCTTTTTTTTTTTTTTTTGCCACGGTAAACATAATTATACACTCGATTAGATATAATAGTAAAATAATTGCCGATAAACAGTTGAAATAGCCGAGTTTATAATTAAAAAACAAAAATATTGGTCAGGTACGTCTGATATGTTACACAAACTTTGGAATCGATTCGAAAAAACTGAATGTCTTTCAACTATATCCTTACAAAAGAATGGATCAAATAATACAAATATTTACAATAAATTACTCGGATGGTGATAAATGTAACAAGAATCTTCTAAATGTTAGGATTAATGAAAGATAATACTGACTAGAAATGAATGTTTTCGTGAAAGCTAATCGTAATTACGTGTGTAGAAAGACTCGCACGTTGTTTGATTCCACATCTGACTAGGACATAAAAACCGTTCCCTAATCAATGAAAACCGTGTGGAATTTTCATTATTTATCCAGGAACTGTTGTTTTTGTTTGTTTTATAAAGATTGTAAAAATTAGTACATAGGTAATAAACGATGTACGACATCTAAAATTGCTACATTATTTGAAATTTTTACAAATCCATTCACTCTTTTTGTTACATGTTCAGATTTATACCAGCACCATAAATACTGTTTGCTCTAAAATACTGATAAGTAAAGATGTAAAGTTGATACGGAGGGGGAGATCCAGCAGAGTGAAAGATGCAACGGTTTCAACTTTTTATTTTGTTTTTTGTTTCTTCGAAATAATTAAAAATCCATAGTATAAAATTCAAATGTGTTTTGGTCTCGTAGTATTTTACAGATGAGAATTCGCTTTCAGATGGGTGAAGCGAGGTAAATCAAATATAACTTTTAAATCGAAGTTAAAAATATATTAAATGCTTATGTTACTTTCGATTAAATTAGAATGGATGTATAAAAATAAAATTAGAAGATTAAAACAGAAAAATCGTCTAGAAATAACGTAGAAAACTTAAAAAAAATCATCTGAACAAATTAACAGTAGAGAGGATTATATTCTTTGTCAAACTGATGTTACTGTCCAATAACTTTTAGAAGTGGCTCTATTCAAATCCTGCAGTAAAACCGGGGAGTTTGATTCGATAATGGGTTCGATCGTTTCTTCGTCGGAATGCCTCTCGAGTTCGTGAAAAACTGACGGCTGAATATCCGTTTTCTGAGATCGAAGAGAGACCATGCTGGAATAAGCTCTGTGTCGACGATCAAATGGACGGTTTGGTTGCATTAATGTTTTTTCGGCTGGCACATCTGTAAAGATTTAAGCGTTTATTACAGAAAAAGAAATATTCGACAGGCGAGAAAATAAAGATATTTTTTTACCAATATCACAAAGGGTATCCTGACTTTTGTTGATTTTTGATATCAAACAATGGAATGGTGGCATGCGAAATGACCAATGATCCGTATTCAATAAAGATGCTGTGGAGGCAGTACTATAACCGGATGTGGATGAAGAGGCACATGATGATGATGATAAATTGCTTTTTTGATAAAAAAGAATATATGCATTAGCAGTTACGATTTTAGATTCTGGAATCTGTGTGACTTTGGTATCGTCGAAGAGATACCAATGTCCGTCGACGGGATTTTTACAATAACCTAAAAAAGATAGAAGTAAACTTACAAACCGGCAAAACAGAAATTGCAATTTAATTTCTCCAAAGCTGTACCTGTGTAATGTCCACTCAACATATTTCCTTGATGATTGCATACGGCGTACAATTCGTACACGTCGTCTCCCTGCGAATAATTCTGCAACCTGTGTCGTTTCCAAGGTGACCAGTAGGACAAAGTATTCAAGTTTCCATTCATAATGTGAGCCGGCATTTCTTGCCGACGTGATGTCATAAACTGAGATATGTCCAGGGACATTAGGGGAAATTCCACCAGCGTCGTCAGCTTGGTTCTGTGCGTTGACGACTAAAACCGAATATTTACAATTATTTTTTTATTGAATAAATGAATATTTTAAAATAAACTTCTGTACTAAAATTTATATCAACCTGTCTAAATCGTTTTAAATGAACTACAAAGATATCGGGTACTGTCCATAAACTCAGCTGCTTCACTACTTGTTGCCTACATTTACAAGAAGGGCACATCCAGGCATCTTCTGCTTCTAACTATAGTACAAAATACGTTTCACATTTCTTTCTATATAATTCAATAATTGGACTTCTATTTAAGAGAACTGCTTTAAAATACCTTTTCTTCTTTAAAATACATCTCGAAACATTCGTACAACGTAGTTTTAGAAACTTTTTGCTGTTGGTCACGGTCTAAATTCCAGCTACTTTCTTCTTTTACTAAGTCACTAGGAACGTCGATTAATCTATGATACAACAAATAAACTCTCAATTATTTAAGTTATGCAAATTTATTTTTCATAATAAAGTATTATATTCCTAGCACAGAATTCTCAACCATCCACACTGGTAAAAAATATACCAATTAATGCAAACAAACCCTCTTTGTTAGAGTGGAAATGAACAAACACAACTCTCCATTCTATTTTACTTTATTCATTTAAATAATTTTTATATACTAAGAAAATTTATTTTTCAAATATTTTTGATTATTTATAACTCTTCAGAGAAAAACTTAATAATATTTTCTTTTTTTAAATACTTTATCGTAAGAAATGTGAAGGGCAAGAACTAATTTCTAAAGAAAGTATCATTGCTTACTTTGGTTGAATTTCACTTTCCCATTCAACAATAAGTTTTAAATGAGTAGGTCCACTGTTTTGTCCCTCTTCACAGAGTGCCAAAGCGTGATCTACCGTTGGCACATAAAGAGGATGATCTACGTCGTCCGGTAAGTAACACTGTTCGGGTATCCCACCGACGACATACAACCGAATAGATTTTTCTTCTTCCTGTAAAAATAAACTCACTTTACTTGCACTGCTTATAAAAAAAAAAATGCAAAGAAATAAAGATAAAAACCAACCAACCTCAGTGAGATTTTCTTTAAAAATTTCTTTTGTTTTTTCTACAATATTGATTCTTATATCTTTATAAGTAGCTTCACGTGAAATTTGTAGAATGTAAGGCAAGGAAATTCTGTTTGTACAAAACAAATAAAAAAGATTTAATCGTATGTGACTCTCCCAACATACTAATAATAAAAATATGTGAAATTTGGCACCATACAATTCAATAAAGAAAAACTGCTTGATTAATGTTACCAAAATTTGTCAACAAAAAATGTTTATTTTCAAATTTTATTTTTATTTTGTAAATTTAAAAAAAATATGTTCTAATTTTGTATATTCCAGTCCATTATTTTGATTAATACATACACCGAGGATGAGGTTAAAAATATTTCATATTAAATCATTTTCGGTAACCGTAATCAAGCAGTTTTTGTTTATCGATTTCACTAAAATTAAAATTATATTTTTAATTAACTTATAACACTTAAGGATAAGTTATGTAATATTAATATTGTATCAATCTTATTATGGTTTAAATTTTTATAGAGTTCTGAAAGACAATCTGTTTATGCATTAGGAAAGGTTATAATATGCCATTATTTTATTATACACTTTATTTGTATTAACAATTATCCAATATCAGTTAATAATTATAAAATTACTGTAATTAAGTTAGTAGCCAAATATATAAAATGCCAGGTTTTTCAAAATATTTTTTGTTAGATTTTCATAGACGAAGCTATACAGCTTAGCTATATAAGATGTTTGGGGAAAACTCCGAAATTTCAAATGGAACCCTCAGAAAAAGTGTGCATTATTTTTGGATTCTATGGATAAAAACAAGAAACTTTCATCTGAATAATTTTTTTTATAATGCATCTATTAATATTTATAACAGCTGAAGCTTGGAGTTGATTCAAATTGTTGATCACATAACTGATGAAAATGCAATAATTACACTATTTTGTCTGTTTCTTTTATTAAATGTTCAAATTGTTAAACATTAATTTATTCTTTTTACAAAACACTGTACAACAGTTTGGTGTTCACTGTAGCATGGGCTTTGCATATTCTCTGCTTCATGCTCTCTTTTAAAGTAGATGGTACAAACATCAATTTTTTCTTGATGTATCCTCACAGAAAGTAATTGAGGATGCGAGATTAGATGAATCAAATGACTTATCCATCTGTCATGAACTCCTAGATTAATGGCAAATGCTCTGGTAAAATGTGGTGGAGCAAAATCTTACCGAAACCACATTTCTCTTCATAAATATAGTGGTACGTCTTTTACAGCTTGTTCTGGAAAAGGGAAACAGAACAATTTGAATTCAAAATGTGAAAGTTTCTTGTATTTTTTCATAGAATAAAAAACTTTCTCTAGGGGTTCCATTTGAAATTTCAAAGTTGTCCTCTATCCCATATCAGAGAAGATGCAGAGAGGCATTCTTCTTATTAAAAACGGACCTTATTTAAAAAATAGTCCTCGTATTAATACTATGGAAGTTTTTATTCTATAAATAATTATTTTTGAAATACATGTATTCATAATTTACAAAGTTATCTTTCAATATGAATATCTTATCATTTTATTTACATTTTTTAAATAAAAGGTTCACTTAAAAAAACAGATAAAATCAATATCACTTACAATTCCTGTGATGTTTCATTTGTTGATTTTATTTTATTCAGCCAAAGTAACAAGAGATGTTCGCCTGTCGTGTGATTTGCGGGTTTTGGTTTTGGAGTTGCAATTGCATACACTTCTTGCAAATCTTCGATAATGGATACGCAATCTGTATCACTAAATGTCCTTTGGAATTCTCCAGATTCAATTTCAGTTAAAATTATCTAGATTAATTAATAATATTTAGTTGAAATCATAAGTTAAACCAAAAACAGAAATCAATACATAAGTAGCTTAAATAATTTTACTTATTAAACCTTAGGATTAAGATGTAGTTTGGTGTTTTTAATATTAAATATATCTAGTATTTAAAGTGTAGATTTATAATAATTTTATTTTTTTGAACATGTTTCAACAGAAAATAGAAANAAGTGGTAGCATTCTTTTTGGAAGATGATGTATTATATTCTGCAGTTATTTTCATAGATTTATTTAGATCTTATTGATCAATTATATATATATGCACCTCATGTCACAGGAGACATACTAACAATTAGATATATATATATATATATATAATTGATCAATAAGATCTAAATAAATCTATGAAAATAACTGCAGAATATAATACATCATCTTCCAAAAAGAATGCTACCACTTGAAATTATTGTAATTATATTAATTATTATTAAAGAACATTGTAATGTTTGTTAAACCATTGGAAAACCATTAAAGTTTTGCATTTGCCCATTACAATTTCTCAATGCATGCACCTCATGTCACAGGAGACATACTAACAATTCGTGTACTTCATACACTTCTTGGATAGTAAGTAACACAATTACAGTAACTTAAACTGGTATCATTCATTTTGGAAGATTGTATTTGCAAAAATGTACACAATATTTAAAAATAAGTTATCTTCAAGCAATGAATTTTGTTCTGGCATAATTTATTGCTCACAATAAAATCAATTTAGACTTATTTAAAGTTAAATTATATCTGAATTTCAAATGCTATTATTGAATTAATTTTATTAATTAATATAAAAAGAAACTGAAAATTTCATGTAGTGTTTATGAGTGGTGTCAAAAGAATTAGTCTCTTATTTAATTCTTAACTTACTATTCAAATTCATCCAAATTGAATAGCTGTTATTATAAGCATAAAAGGAAAGCTTTAGAATCAATAAATGAAGACAGAATTGGATTTTGATAAAAATGTATTTAAACCAGAACTTCTTAAAGTAGATAATGAAATATATTAATATTCTGTGAAGCAGTTTTGTGGGATGTTACAATATTTTGACTGATTCTAAGAAAGAATAAATATAAAAAGAAAAAATAGGACAAATTTGAACACAAATGATAAATTTATGCTAATGTTTATGACAAAAGTTTCTTTCAGTTTTGCTATGACATTCATAGTGACAATACCACTACTGAAATTGGAGTCAAGGTCAAAATTTTTTCTATGTTAATGGGATGGTATCATGCAAGAACATTTGGAATGCAATGGTTCAGACAATTATAAAAAAATACAGATAGCTTATATTATATATGTTGTATTTCAATAGCTTTAATAAATAATGTTTGCTATTCTATTTAACAATAATGCGTATAGTTCCTTTAAACTATTTATATTGTCATTAAACAGATTACAATGGTTTCCAATCTTTATACACTTTTCAAAATTTAAGAATTCTGGCATCTGTCATATTTATAAATTCAATTTCATTTTGTCTATGCATTTTCATTAAAATGAAAAATTCTTAAAAAGATTCTCTCATAAACTAATTAATTCCCAATTATTTCTTTTTGTACAGAAAAATAATGCTTACAACAATAATATTATTTTCCATANATAGTTGGAAATTCCTCTTTTTCTTCTAACAGTCTATATCTTAAATCCAAGAACTAAATCTACTGACTTTTAATCCCCTTCTCTAGCCTGTTCCTAACTTCTTTTGGCTCAACTTTAATCTCTCTCTATCATCAATAAACACAATATAAATTGTGAATAACATATATCATAGTTCCTTTCTCACTGCAAACTATAATAATTATTCTTAAAAAGATTCTCTCATAAACTAATTAATTCCCAATTATTTCTTTTTGTACAGAAAAATAATGCTTACAACAATAATATTATTTTCCATATCTTGCATTTACATTTCACATTTATGATCAAATATTTCCACTTGAAAAAATCCTGTAATTAGTTTATTTATTATTTAATCTCATCTGGAGGAAAAAGCAAGTTACTATCGAAAACTAGGAACTACAATTCCTAGTTTTCGATTAAAAAAACACATTTGAAACAAATTTCTATGGGTCTAACAGTTTGGACAGGCAGTAGAATGTTATAACTTAGTGGAACCCAGGCAAATTTGAATTATGGAGTCCCACGGAGTACAGTGTTGACTTCAGATATTTTTCTCTGGGAAAATATTTTCTTATAAAAGATTGGTTTGGGCCCCTTGTTGAAGGAAACACCGGTGGGCAATTGCCCTTTTGCCCATAGGATAACACGCCACGGTGGACAGAGGTCTTGGCAGTACACAAAACACATTGTGTGCAATTTATGTCATTGAAATTTATTTTTATTACTACAATTTATTTTGAATTCATAATTTTAAAAATAACCAATATGTTTTTTGATTCAAATCACAGTGTAATATTAAGGCTATACTTATTTAAAATAACAATTACTAAAATTAGAAAATTTGTTTTTTGAATACATAAATATAAGTTAATGTTACAAGAAATGCTACTAAGTTATAATTGTTGAAGCAATACTTACTTCTTACATCTTTATAACAGTATGCAATTGCTTATCAATACATTTTTAGTTGTCATACTTAAATATAATTTATATTGCAAAGCTGCCTATCTATTTTCAATACTATATTTTATTTTCATGGTAAAAAATGCTAAAATTCTGTAATAAAAATCAAAGCGCATTACTCAAATTCTGATTTTTTTTACAAATTTGAATAATTGGAATTCTGTAAGAATTTAAAATATACTCTTGTTATTCCAAATTGAGACCAAATTTAAAATTAAAATGAGTTTTAATACCAATGTTCAGTGATCAATTAGAACTAGAATGCTATCAGTAAGACAGAATCTGTGAAATGAGTGTAATAATAAATTTATTTTGTAGATGATTATAGATGATACGAAATAAACATAGAAGATATCTAAGGAGACATTTATAAATGTTCAGGAAATATATGTATGAAAAGTACCACAAAAATCTCGTAAATGAGAATTCCGCTGCAAAATCAGATCATGTGATGATAAACATGTCAATATAGACCTGAATTTATATACATTATATTATTATTACTGTTTCACATATCTACAGCAAAATCTTTAAATACTGTTATTAACATATAATCAACAATTTTTTGATCAATATAAAATCAAAAGATATACTTCAAATCAATGTGAATAATTGAAAATATTTTGTAGAACTATTTTAAAATTTTAATAAATGATATATATACATACACACAAACACTTACATAGTTAAAAAAATCTCTGAACAGCCTGTCTCTCGACTTGGCAAAAAAGTGATGCAACAGAATACTATTAAGTTAGACTTTCCAAATCAATTATTTATCTATTATTGATTTTACAGTGAAATCTACTTTTCGAGAGTATAAATATTTAATAATTCAAATGACTAACAGTCTAAAAATATAAAATCCTTATGCATGTTTGTGTTTGCTAAATCATTACATCCAGTAGACAAAAATTTTTGCCTTTTAGAAGTCATATTTGATAAGCTTATGTTATCTCTCATTATGTTTTGAAATCATTTAAAATTATTAAAAATTATCAATAAAATGAAAAAAAATAATCTTGATATCTTTTGACATTTTTATACGATAATTTGCTATCAAATGTCATTAAGATTACAAATAAAATTCTTCAGCAAGATATCGAAACATTCTCATAATATAGCATAAGATTAAACTGATTGTGACGATTAAAATAATTAAATAATTATCATATTTTTTAAAATATCAAAGCCTGCATTTAGCTTTATTAAATACTCTGGTTTACACTAAATAAGAATCTTTTCAAATTTCTTTAAAAAAAATAAAATAAAAGGGTATTAAAAACAAAATCAGCACTATACTCTGCAAAGTGCCTAAAAAATCTTATTATTTTTAAAGAAACGTTTATATTATTGGAGCATTTCTTCCACTTTGGCTTTTTATTTTTATTAAAATACCAAAGATGTCATTGAACAGTTATAGAATAGAATAACCACTGGTGGACCAATTGACACTTTATTAGGCAAACTTATTGACTTGAACAAGATATTATCGCAATAATATTAGTTGTGAATACCTTAGGATTTTTTAAATTACTAACCAGATAGCCTGATCAATTTTCAACTTGTAACAATATCCAACTAGGATTTTTTTTGCTCTTTCTGCCTTGTGGGCACTTTCTATTTTGGCTATGCTGTTCTTCCAGTCTCAATGGTCTGGACAAAGTAAACAACGACTATTTCAGATGGAAAATGGCATGGCCCTTAAAAATAGGAAACACAGGATGCAACAATTGGAAATGAGAGGTATAAGGCACACAAAAAGATGGTTAGCAGATAATGAATAATTTATTATCTGCTATAATTAAGGGCTGATGAAAGTAAGCATTTGGTATTAATGAAAAAACATTGGTACAACAAGACTTGGGAAGAGCATATAAAGAAAACTGAGTGTGAAAGAATTGATCACAACATAGTTGATAGGTGGGACAGAAAAGTTAAGATATTAGGGAGATCACCCATTATCCTTTTCTCAAATGATCCCACATTACAAGCCCAAGTGTACCCAAACTATTCGGCTTTGCAAAAACGCATAAAAATAGCAAAGAAATTAGACCAGTAGTAGAAAAGTGTAAAGGTCAAGTTATAAACTAGAGAAATGACTACATGGATATTTAGCAGAGTAATTTCTGGATGAAAATTCACTGAGTTCAGCATTAATAAAGTTCCTTTAGCATTAACACAAGCACTTTTGATGAGTGTATAATCGCCGTCTTCAGAAATGAACAAATTTTAACAAACCGAATGTGCAGAATGTTCCAAAAGAACAGAATTTTTAAATTCAAACCAGGTGTCTGGAAATTCTGTTAAGAACGTGAAAATAGTTTTTGACATGTTCAAATCCTTAAATTTTACAGTGCGAGTGGTGCATGCGTGGAATTGACACTGCATTGGTGATATGACATTAGGTACGTTTCATTTTTTAGATGCCGATACAAGGAAATCCACATCCCGGGTAGATCGAGGGTGGGAACATTGCATGTTTCTGTAGTAGCTGTGAGAAGCGCTTTCCAGATGAACTCAAGCCTTCGATTGTTGCAGCATTTAAGTAACACCGTTCTGGACCACAGTGAGTTGTAACCTTGCTCGAGAACTTTTTTAGGAGTCCTGTAGAACATCTTTCTTTGGCTACATCATCCTGATGCTCTGCAAGGCGGGAGGTGAACATTCTTGTTGTTGCTCCTTGGTATCTTGTAATAGCTCCCGTTGCCAGATTTTCTAGGTGTATTGTGTAAACCCCCGACTTTTCTAAAGTGGTTAGCCTGTCCCGATCGTTGCAGATACACCTGCATAGGTTTGTTAGGGGGGTTATGGGTAGAATGAAGTTATGCAGCCGAAATATGCGGCTGATGTGTATAGAGGTTGGTACGAGATATGGCAATGATGACTGGATCACTGATGCTTTTTTCTTTCTGTACAGCATGGTACATGGGAATAGGGACTCTTTTACCCTATGGAGCACATGTTCATATTTGTCATGCATAAATCCAGCAAGAGACACTGCCACTCTGACAATGTCTAATTCAATTTTTGTTGCTAGCTGCATCGACGGAAGTAGTAATGCCCTTCTAATGAGTGCAGCAATGGTAGCATTGACGTACTGCAATGGTCGGAAAGCATCTGCCGCGATAATATATGGTAGCACATTAGATTTGTGATGAACAGCAAATTGTGGCCCCTCAACCAACTTTTGTATGCACAGATCCAGGAATGTTATTGATTCCTCCTGCTCCTTCTCCCAAGTGAAACTGATAGTAGGGTATATGCTTGAGAGTTGCTGCACAAATTTGATAAATTCCTCCTCTGTATTCTCCCATATTATTAGGATATCGTTGACATAGCGCAAGTATAGAGATGGATAACTGATGACAAGAGGGGAGTTGAAAATTCTACGCTCAACTTCTCTCATAATGAGCTCGGCCAAGACTGCAGATAGCGGAGAGACCATAGGAACTCCTTGCTTCTGCACGTAGACGCTCTTGTTGAAAAGGAAATAGTTGTGCTCAGTGAGGAAAGTTAGCGCATCACATATGTCTAGCACTTATTGTATGTTAAATCCCTTTTTGATGATCAAGGAGTTGGCAAGCATTACGGCTTCAAAAACAGGTATAGATGGGTATAAGGACACCACATCCAATTTGTAGAAAGTATAAGAATCTTCATGTGTACCACTCATGTTGGAAGCAATGGTGGACTTGGCAGCTACAGACAACGGAGTAACATATGGTGAGCCCAGAAGTTTGCACAAAAACTTTGCAAGCGCCTTTTCTAAAAAATATGTAGGATGTGATCTCTTGTTTACCAGTGAGTGTAACGGCCAGTTTGCTTTATGCATTTTTGGTTGAAAGAATAGCTAGAGCATGCTACATTGGTGGGAGGATCAAGGCACCCAGAGTCGCAGCTATTCCTGGTAAAGCTATTATTTTCCTTGTCCTTCGCAGTACTATTGGTGTTGGATCATTGTTTATAATCTGAGAATGTGATTGCAATAAGAACTCATTGGCTCTAAAGATAAAATCATCCTCCTTGCACAGAACAAATCATTTTTCCTTGTTAGAGACCGGAAGCCTCAAGTTATTCCTAGTTAGGAATTGCATTACTGCTTGGTGGTTCACGTGACGCTTTGGCACACTAGACACCTACTTCGTCGCCACAAGCTTTGTGGTGATTTCTAACTCCATTTGTGGTTATGTGGCTTCTGCCAGGCAACATTTTATTATGAGGAACCCACAAAACTTAATATCTGAGCTCCAAGCCATATCATTACTGGATGAAGAAGTTGGATTGGTCATGGACTTTGAAAATTTGTATCCATCTATGAAATTGGAGTTCTGCTATCATGCTTTAATTGACACCTTGATCCAATTGAACCAGATGTGTCGGCCTTTTCCAAAGATACAAAGCTACTTGCAAATCTGATATGTTTTCAATCATTCTTCAGCTTTAAAGGCAAAATCTATAAACAAAAGTGAGGTGTTCCTATGGACAACCCAATGTCCAGTTTACTGCGTGAGTTAGTTATATGCTGGTTAGAACAGATTACCATTAGAAGTTTTAAAGATGATATAATCTTGTAAAAATGATACGTGGATGATGTATTCATTTTATGGAAGAATAATAGAAGAATACAAGTTTTTGAATGAGATAAATTCCAACAACAAAGGTTTAAAATTTAAATTGGAACAACTTAGTAATAAGGGCGTGCAGTTTTTGGACATTGACATTTTAATCAATGAAGGTTCTTTAAGCATGAAAGTGTACATAAAACCCATGCATGACCCACTATACATTCCTTCCTATTACAATGATCCACATATATATAAACTTTCAGCATTTAGGGCTTTAGTCAGAAGGGCATTCAAATATTACTCCAACCTGTACGACAGATTACAAGGATTGGATAGGATTAAGACTGTTGATATGACATTGGGATTTGGAGCAAAAATCATCAAGAAATTAATCTGCTCTTACTCAAATTCTAGTAAAACAACAAAGAAAAGTATCAACAGCAATGTTATGAAGTTCACATACAATAGAGGCATATCCACTATTATGAAGGAGATTGCAGAATACAGGAACATAAGATTAATTTACAAAAGAGCTCCCACAGTCTATAACTTGCTTATAAATGACAAAGATCAAGAAAGAACAACCAAGGAGGTATAAGATGCCTTATAAGAATTATCAATTACATCTGAACAAGGAATACATAGGTGTCACCACCAGAAACCTTGCAAAAAACTTAAAGAACATATTTACAATGTGAATAAAGAGCACTGTTCTACAGCACTATCCAGAGTAGCACAAGCAGATGGTTCAGTAATGGAATGGAATGAAACCATGATTGATAAACCAGTGCACTCACCAACTCTAGCATTAAGTTAAAGAAATTTGAGATACATAAATCCAGTTTCACAGGCAAATGTTTAAATTACAAGGATACAGAGTTACCATCAGCCTGGAAATATATAATCAGGAATAGCTCATCAGAATCTAATCCTTAACATGCCTTTAACATTCTGTTAACATATGTTTATTATCATGTTTTATGTTAATTTATTATATTTACTTTATTTCATTTCATTTCATGTATATTGTTAGTTATTCTTTGTATATTTTTACTTTTTAATGAGGTATTAGAAAGTATTTGAATTTGTTATTAAATGTTCATTCAAATAAAGAACAATTGTAATGGTTCCAGGAAGTTTAAAACCTGACGATGGTCTGTTGATTTGTTTCAAGCAATAAAATAGTTTCTCAGAAGTATAAAGTATGTTGTAATATCTAGGTAGTTTTACCTTTTTCAAGCATTTTTGTAACTTTTTCTACTGTCTGTCAAAAAAAAATCTTTATTCATAATTACATTTTTTAATTTTATACTATGTCTAAAAAATTTGATAAAATGATAATTTTAAATTATAGATGAGGATGTGAATATATTAAATTGAAAATAATTATATTTTCGATTTAATTTATCCAGGTTTTAAATAGAGATCTGTTTAAAAATGTTATGTTGCTACATATTATGAATGAAAGTTTTGTACATAATGTTCTGAGTATAACATATCTGTTCAATAACTGTTCAATATCTGTTACATAAGTAATGGTAAAATAAGTAAATAAATTTGCATTTTACTGTTTTGTTTCATTACATATATATGACAATATAATTAAGAAAACCATAGTTCATCCTCTGATACATTTAAATAGCCATAGAAATTTAATCCAGATAATAAATTATTTAAAAAATAGTTTG